TCTCTATTGGTAAGAACTGTGTATCATTAGAAGAGATACTGTCAACAGGTTTTTGAAAACAATGTTATTTTCAAGGTTAATTCTATTCATAAATACTTCACATGAAAGAATTGGATCTGCTGTCATTCCTGAAGACTCTTCAAGGACAATGTCTTTGTTGCATTCTCTTTTCACTAGCATAGGAGCTCAGTCTTACCTGCATTCAAAAGCTTTTTGATGTTCCTGATGCATGGCCTAGACATCCTTGTCTCCATGACCATCATGATTTCCATATCAAGTGATGAGAATTTCTCTTCATGATTAGTGAAATTAAGTATCATAACATAGATGTAAAGTCAATTGGAACTTTTATCTCCAAACAAATCTCTTCCTTCCTAATGAAAACCAATAGCAATAGCAAACCTATGCAGTTTTTCAGGAAGGGAAATAATACACCTGCACTGTACAATTTCCGACATGGGTTTTTTCACCAGAAGAAGAAAACTACTGTATTCTTCTTCTTCTATCACCTTAGACTTACTTGATTCCAAATAGTTGTTAACCTCTGAATTTCTATTTCTAGCTAATTACTTTCACAGTGTGCTATAGCATTTGTATTTAAAAAGGCCATTTGTACATATTCAAATGGCTTACTTCTATGATATTAAGAAATGGTTGCACTTCTATTAAGAAAACATAAAGGTGCAGTAATATTTTATCTTATACCAAGTGCAAAAAAACCCCAACAATTAAAAATTATACCAGCAAATGATGGCTGTAAGAGTGTTGCAGCAGGTTTTTTCCAGAACAATGTGCAGTTCTTCCCAATTCTGTTTTTCCCTCTGATTATTTCATACAGGAATATTTTTACACAGTCTTCTAATAGTGGCATGTTACTACTGGGGTAGAGTATTGCCCTGCCAGCATTGGAATTGACTCTATTGTAGTTGTGTTCAAATTTGCTGATGGGACAAGGTTTTTTTGATGAAGACACTTTAGCAAGCAAGAGAGCCTCTTAGTCTTTAGATGCTGTGAGTCCCAGAAAAAAGATGAATGAGGTGATGACGTGCCTTGTGTTCTGAACAGAGATCAAAAACTACCTTCTGGGGTCACCCCCGTCTTTGTACAGGAAGTGCACAGAAGGGTTGGAAGCAGCACTTTTACCCTCTTTGCATTCTTTAGTAAATGTGAGACAGAACTTGCAAGAAGGTATGTGCAAGAAGACTCTTTTTCTGCAACTGTTAACCAGACAATAGCTCTGGGAAAACTGGCAGTGGCAGAAAGCAAGCCCTTCCTGGGAAATTGACTGAAATTGTTCAGAAGTTACTCCCATTCACTGTTGCTAAGATCCGCTGTCTAGCTGTCAGATATGGTTGGGACCATGTTGAAATAATTAGAAACAATGGACTGATGCTGCAATATTGAGTCAACATAGGTATTTTCCATAGGTGTCATGGAAAAATATTTCTATTGGTAAAAAGGAGTTGAATATAAAAAAAGAACAGTATGGTAGGAAAAAAAATTACATCAATAGAATGAAAATGCCTATAGAGTTCTTCTTTTCAAGTTCCACAGAGAGAATATTTCATAACGAAGGTGGTGAAACTTATGAAGAAGTAGAAGTACATTCTACATGACTGGTGCACAAATTAGTCTTTCCAACTTACAAAAAAACCCATATGATTAAAAAGACAAATTTTCTTCTTTGTGGAAAAGTAGCCCATTAGTAATTTCAACAAAGATAGGATTCTATCAAGTATTCCTACAAGACAGTAGAAGTACTATGGAAAGCCTTTTGGCATGTATTTAACTCCAGGAAACTTGAGAAAGCAGAAGAGTCTTTCCCTGCTGCAAGCTGTATTTCCTATTTGCTACTGCTGCTTGAACATTGTCTGAAGAAAACTTGCACAAAGAAGACTATTGTACAGCAGCAACTGCAAATCTCCATTCTGGTCCAGCCAGTTTTAACTAGAAAGTATGAGACACACACTCTAGTTAAATAGTCTAGTGCATAGATGGAGTATATCATCACTAACAAAAAGGGAGTCTGGATAATGGAGCAAATGCAGATGAATTTCAGGGAAGGAAATGATTGGAGAACTAAGTGCAGTCCCTCGACTTGACAAGAAATGGCATCCAATAATCCCAACCAGAAACATATAGAACTCCATTTTGAAAAGGGTTACATTTATGGTCCTCTCTGTTCTTCCTGTATGAAGGAACAGTGTTTTGAATCAATATTCAAAATGGTATGGCTAAAAAACTTGGAGTCTTTTTTTTTTTCCCAGAAACAACTGTCTCAAAACCTCTTTAAAAGTGACCTTTTCCCTTTAGATGCCGTATTTTAAAATAGCATCTCGTCATTTGACAGGGTATTCCAAACATCATTTAGAAATTTAGACTAAAAGTAACATTCTTCCTAGTCATCTTTTTTTACAGCTCAGTGCTAACATAGGCAGCAAATAAGAGAACAGAGCACAGCTCTTTCTGGAACATCTTGAACAAATGCCATTGCTGATGTTCTAATCATTCGCTTCACCAGAATACCCAACGGTGAAGAAAAGAATGTGAAGGCATGACTAGTAGCATCATATGGCAATGTGTGATTTATCGAGTAGAATTTGTATTGCATAGATGCTACTTGGCAAACAGCAAATGAAGGGTTTTTTTCAGATCTCAGACTGATGTTACATGTCAGTAATTGAATAAAAAGATAACGAGAATGATATTTTTTGACTTGGTGAAGATGAAGCTTAATCTCAGTGAAGATGAAACTTGATTACACCCCTACCATGGACATCTGAATCTTATGAATAGACAGTGTCTGATTTAGAAAAAAAGAAACAATTATCACCGTTGAAAGAAACGTATGTCCATAAAGACTTTGCTGATGGAACATAGCCTATTCATTGGCTGAAATGAAGCAGGTAAACAGGACAGATGAAATTTTTTTTTTTGTGGATCAAACCTTTGTTTTCTAAAGTGATGCTGACAGATGGTGAACTCACCAACTTGGGTATTGCACTGTAGATAAGGGTACATAACTTGCTACACTTCCCTGAGGAATCATCATCCAAGGGGATTTTCCCCTGCATCTGGGAAAATGTGCCTCCCTTTTTCACAATCCTTTTGCAGCAGCTTTCTTAGGCCTGATCAGCTGGTATGGAGGGTGGATGATCAGCAGCAAGGTGACTGGCTGGGGTCATTTGCTTCAATGAATTTTGGCCTACCAGATCTTTTGAACATCTGTTTCAGCCCTCTTTGCCAAAGACAGTCTTTACATGGTGCTAAACAATTTCTCAGGCTGTGGATCACATGAAAAATTACTTTCTGGTGTCTCTACTGGGCCATATGCTCTTTATTCTCTCTCTCAACTTCTTCATCACCTCCCATCTGTTTCACAGGAGCTATGTTCAAGGTCCACAGGATACTTTTCACCCAATCTTGAGGCCTGCTGCAATAAGAATGATTAATAGAACACATCTGGGATGACTTTCCCAGTTTGGATCCAATGTATTGTGCAGACAAATCCAAGGAGAAGGTGTTCCCTCTATGGCCCGAAAAACCTTCACTAGTACTAGTGTTCTACATAAACCATACTTTAGTCTGAAAGAAAAGTATTTTCTGAGTCTAATTTGTATGAAGCACAGATATTTGACATGTGCAATTTTCAATAACAGATGAAGCAGGAAATGGAAAGAAGTTTTTCATTTTACCGGTTTGAATTTTAAATTCCATGCACTTCTTCAAAAAGTGTCAAGCTCAAATGCCCATCAACTTTAGGAATTTGTAAGTTATTATTAATAAAAAATGTGTTTCAAATCAAAAACATTTCAAACCTTTCCCCCAATTGTATATGCCCCGATGTATGATTTCTGACATCTATGAGATAAGACATTTTTGTATTGTGGGGGTGGTGGAACACTGAACAATTGCCCAGAGAAATTGTGGATGTCCAATCGCTGAAAGTATTCAAGGTTGGGTTGGATGGGGCTTTGAGCAGCAACAAATGAGACTCTTGATGGTAGAGAAAGAAAGTCTGAATCAAGAAGAAACTCTGATTTAAGTATAGGAGCAAGTTTTCTCTCAGCTCTTGGTGTAAATTCAAAGTTGTACAAAATTGCATTTCTCTGTGATTTGCACTACTGTAACAGAAAGGTTAATGAAAACTATGCAGAAAAGATCCCATTTTAAAAGAGATAAGAATTCCAACATCAAATACATTGGATGGGTTTCAATATGGGACACTATCTAAGAGAAAATCTCTGTATTTCAACACAGTCAAAAATAAAAAAAGCATAGATTTAACAAAGAAATATGTTTATTTGAATCCCTGGGGTTTTAGCAGTGATGTTAATACTTTTGCTTTTGTGCTTTTAGCAGTAAAACTATTTTAAAAAAATCCCAATTTTAGATTTATTTTTTAAATATTTTTTTTCATTTTAAAGTACATTAAAATATTTTTCTCCATGTAGAATTATTGGTTTAATTTCAAAACAGACAAGTGTTTGCAATATTAACCTGTTTTGCCCATTTAAGAATTGGGCCCTCCCTGCTCTCCTTCAGGGAAATGTGGCATTTAAAGTGAGAGGTAAAATCTGAGCTAAAATCTTCAAATTATGCTAAGCTAGCTGTCCTGGTTTTAAGAGACAGGTGTCTGCCAAGGAAAGCAGGAACCTTCCTGTATTGGAAAAGATGACCCCTTCCCTCCAAATTATTATAACCTTGAAATCACAGGGCTTTCAGGCAAAGATATGGGGAAAGAAATAACAGTTCTTTACTAGCATATATATGCACACACATATATGTATACATATGAAGACAGACAAACAACAACAGCAGCAACAACAAAAAGCATCCAGAACCCCGGTGGAATCTTTTCCCTCCTGTCACTCACTTTCCCCTCGGCGCCCCTGGGACCAGCAGGGGCACTGCTGGCTCCCGGTGGGGCAGAGGGGCTGCAGGCACTCTCCCTGATTGCAGAGAGAAGTTCTGGGCCAGGTCTTTTCCCCTGGAATTACCCACGCAGATGGTTGGGATCTCTCCCGGCAAGGGTGGGTGATGCAGAAGGAGTCCCGATCCAGGACAGCTCGCTGTAAGCGGTGGCCTTGCCCATAGGCGCTCAGGGGAGACTTCACAGCAGTGCTGAACCCTGGGCAGGACAAGTCCAGCACCAAAAACCACAGCCATCACTTCTCCAAGCCAGGCGAAGACTGGACCACCTCCAGCTAAGAAACTGCCAAAACCACACTGCTTCCCTGCCCCACTTCCCCAAGACAATCTGAAGGGTATTGTCTCTTAAATGACATCCATTTGCTGTTTCCATGACAACAAATGGGAAGAAAATTCCTTGAAGAAACCTAACCACCAACGCTAGCAAATGGCAAAAAAATTAAATTTTAATCAAGAAGAAACATCACAATAATGACCATAAGAAATTAAAATGGACAGATTTCCAGAATGATCTAAAATGCTTCAGTTTCCTTTTGAACATGCCTAAATCATCAATAATGCTGAAACTGTACAACTTGAAGTACATTCTGATATTCTCTGTCCACAGTCACACTGTGGTTATTTTCAGGTTATGAGTGTTTTATAACACTGCTTATTCAGTCATGCCCATGGATTGTAATGCACCCATAGCTCTATCCACCAGGGCAACTGGGCACAATTTATATGTTGATGCACTAATGTGGCCTGGGTTTCCCGGGGTCTGTCCGACCCGGGGCAGCCATAAGTGTCCTGGATAGTGCTGGGCTGATGAGCACCGTGAGAACCCCAGGCTTGGTCTGGGGTCTCGTGTGGTGGTAAAGTCTCTCCTCCAACCTGTGCTTCCAAAGAAAAACTCTGCAGCCTCTTGCTGTTCAGTCTCAAGGCAGTTTATCGTTAGTTATCTAACAGATTGTCTTCTTGGGCTGTGGCTGTTTGGTCAGCGGCCTGGGCAGAGGCACACACACACCCTGACATCCTCCCTGTCTGCTGTCTTCTTCTTCTCTGCCCCCACCCAGGGCTGCTGCTATCTTTTATATGACATATTACGTATTACATGTTTATAGTTTTCCCCCAATACCTACTACCTATATTACAAAAGTGCTTTTCTACCCTAAACCAATCTGTGAGTGGCAACATCACCAAGAACATGGAGGCAAAGAAGAAGAAGGAGGAAGAACAGGATCAGCCCACTTTCCTCCATCTTAGAACTTCTGACCCCCATGTACAAAATAAAAACCCCCCTGTACAATACTAAAAAAATTTCCCCTCTGTTTTGTAGCTACATTTACTATATTATCTAACCCTTTGTGACTCCTTGCTCCACCTTCAAAGCTGGTAACTCATTCCATGGCTCAAACTCAAAATCACAGCTGTTTCCAGCTGCCTGTCAGGGTCTAAAATGCTTCTGACCAAGGCCTGGAACCTCTAAAAATGTCTGAGGGGCATTTTGAGTTCCAACAGAGCACCACCTGTCCAGGTCCCTCAGGCAAGCTCCCAGCCATGGGCAATCTTAGCAAGCAGCTCAACTCGTGAGATGAGCTCTTTGGTGAATTCAGCTCTTTGGTGCTTTGCTTGCTAAGTGCCCCAGGCAGACACAGAGCAGGAGAGAGAAGAAGGCTGTATTTGGTTCCACAGCGGTATCTTTATTGGCAGCTCCTGTGAAGGGTCTCAGTGACAAGTCTCCTGCCAAACTGGACGGAAATGGGGTTTTATATAGGGTAGGGTCTGAATGTGGAAGAGGGGCTACTTTGGTCCAGTCATGACTTGGCATTTCTTATGTTAGACAAGTGCCCACCAGGGAGGCCTTGCAGGGCCTCTGGAAGTTAAGATAGTTAATAGGAAATGCTACTTCCCTGTCTGCATCTCCAGATTTTGTCAGGTAGGCATTCTCTCATCAATTTATTTATTTATTGCTCTATTTATTTTCTCCAGTCATTTTTCTTTTAGATTACCTGAGCAAGGTGTCCTAAAGGAACAGTACCTATCAGAGAAAATTGATCAAAAGGTGAGCCTTGGTCCTTCTCTAGGGGAACAAGGGTTGCAAATCTTTATGTGGTCTGTCACATATTTTGAAAGCAGCCAGTAAATTTGCCATTGACAGACTTTTGATCCTTTCTTGCTTGATCCTTTCTATAAGACACATTGACAAATAAAGTGTTGTCATGTCTGAAGTGTCATGGGCAAGGACTCCAATATGAAAGCACCAATAAGCAGAGGAGAGCAAGGACAGGACCACTTTACACATGTTATGGATAGCATGAAGAAGAAGCAGGCCACTGAGATCCAGACCTGTGAAATGTGTAAGACTGGTTAGGCATATGCAGAAATGGGACATTATATTTCATATTGATACAACATATAATATGCATTTTTACCATACACATCCTCTTATTCCTCAGGAAAATAGCTAATGGTTTTTACAAGAGGAGTGGCTTTTTTTTCTGTTAGAGGAGTGAGAGAGTGGAATGGAAGGAAATATGATTGCTATGTACAGGGAGAAGTGCTACACCTTCGTCTCAGAGGCCCTGGACCTCAGTGGAAAATACTTATAACTCTGTCTCTGAAGAAGATGAAAGTAGTTCTTATGCTAAGAAAGGGAACAAAAAGCAAGTCAATGCCACCTATTTCTATATTCCCTGTTTCAGAGCTGGCTAAATTAACTATATCAAGAAACATTTGCCTTGTTCAAAGAGTAATAAGGCCTTTCTGCAAATGGAATGGCTTTTACTCTAAAATCTGGTAATTTATCAGCAGTTTTCTGTACTCTGCAATATCATCTCTCTGAGTTGAGAAAGGCAAGTCAGTCAGCACAATATGTTAGCTGATTCAGACAGAGACCGAGGTGAGGACAGGGAAATTGTGCTCCCTTGTTACCTGGTTTAATTCTTGTGAGCATCCACATGAGACTTACCAGGTTATGTGTTGAACTGATACTGCTCCAATTCTGCTTCCACCAGAAAACACAGAGGGATTTGCAAAATGAATAAGACTGAAAACTACACCTGGCCAGGCTATGCTCATTCAAGGATTTCAAAACACTCTTCAAATCTCTTTTCAGAGTTTCACATAACTCCTGATTTGCAAGCTATGGAATTCAACCAGCATCCAGCATGTCCACAGCCACTGCTGTGTAGGTGGAACTGGGAAACTCTCTCAGATCTATGTCTGGCTCTGGAGCAGTCTGTGCTTAGAAAAGGGTGCAGGGTAAAAGAAACAAAAACCCATAAAGAATTTACTTTTCTCCTGTCAGGGTAGATTCAGGAAAGAAATGGCTGACAGTGGATCATTACTGCAGATCACTGGTTTGATTTCAGAGAACTCCCTCCTAAACAACCAACCTGCCTAAGCTAAGTGTGCCTGATTTGGAGCTTGTTTTCTTTCTCTGAGGAACAGCAGGTCCACAGTCTCATCTTCCTTCTCTACGGGTGCAATCTCAGAGAAATGCAAGATGCTCCTTCCTTGCAGGTATATAGTGCCTCAGAACTGAGCCTTCATTTCAGTAAAGGACTTAATTTCAAGGCCTTTCAAAGGACTTAATTCCAAAAAGCCATTTCAATAAGGCTGGTTGTGAGAGGACTAGATCTTTAAATGGATTCAGGATCACCACCTAACTGCTTTTAGGCTGAGATTTGCAGTTGTCTCTACTCAGTATGAAGATAAGTGGGTGGATGCATGCAGGCAATATGCTGATGCTGCAGAGCTGTGGTCAGAAAGCATCTTTGCATCCAATTCCTACTGTTCATAACTATACCAAGAATAACTAAATACACTGTCTAAGTAGCACAGTAACCAAATGACTCTGTGTGACAGTCACTTGCTGAACAAAATCTCAAATCTCGCTTGCCAGACAGGCATCCTGAGCTCCCAAAGCAGTAATTTCATAGAAAAAAGGAGAGGCTTCTCCTCAGGAAATTCCGAGTTCCCATGGCACACCAGTAGTTCTGGCATACCCCAGCAGAGGGCAATGGCAGATAGACATCTGAGTTTGGCACTGCAAAGCACCCCTACACTAGAAAACTAAGTTTTCCCTACCAGATCTTGTCACAAGCTCAGGAGTCACTTGGCGCTAACAAATGGAATAAATCCTATCTAGAGCTGAATCAAGGTCCAGTAGAAGACCTGGCAACATGTCATTAACCAGCAGCATGCAGGAAGCTCTCCAGATCTGCCCTGAGTGACTACAGTTTGTTAAGTAAAGAAAGGTCTTAGCAGCATTTTCACTGTAAGATCACAAAATACAGGTGGTCTGGCTTTCTTACTGTGCTGGTTTGGAGAAAATGGGTAACTGAAGCTGTGTGTCTTCTTTGATTTCTTTGATGCACCTGCAAATGCAAACCAGAAAGACTAAGCTGGAAGTGGTGAGTGTGGAGGAAGAAATGGCAAAACAGGAAAAAGCCTGGCAGCTTTATTTGTGTTCATGGAAACATTTTTATTCTGAAATCTCAGTGTTAGACCTAAAGTCCTCCTGAAGGTGACAGAAAGTTATTCAGAGTAGATTTTTTCAGGTATATGTGCATCTAAACACACGAACCACAATTTGAAGTAGTTAAGGCAGACTCGCTTACACTGGATTTTTTCACTTCTGAATGTAAAACCTTGTATGTCTCAATTTGGGGCTGAAAAATAGAAGCATTCAGAACTAGGAATCACTTTTAAAAAAGTATCAATAAAATTGTATGTCACACACACTGAAATGCAGTGACCATTAATTATGTAGGCATGTTGCAAAAGCATAAAATGATATCTGTTTTGACCCAGGAAGGCAGTGAAGAAATGTTTACAAATCCTTTCATGACAATAACCATAAATAACAAGTAAACAGCGACAGGAACAACTGCTTCAGTAATATTGCTGTCATTTGTTGTGCCTGCATCAGCAGACACTGCAAGGGAAAATCAGTGTTGGAGGAGAGAGAAATAGGTTGCCAAGCAACACGAGACCCCATCCAGGGCACCCCCTCCCCTGCTTAGGAGCAGACAAAGCTTCCTGGTACAACTGCTCTGGAAGCTGAGCTGGCATCCGTCAGGAGAAAGTGGACATGTTGTGGGGTGAGGGAGCAGGAAAGGGGAAGGGGGCAGAGCTTCCAGCTGGCAAGGTGGGGCTGCAGAGACCAAGGGAAGCAATGGTAGTTGTGCCAAGGGGGGGTTAAAGAAGCCAATCCAGAATGTGGCAGCTTCAGCAGCACTTGGATCAAACCCTGCTCTAGTGTGGAAGGGTTGAATGTGAGTGGGGCTTTCCTGGCTGGACATAGAGATGGAGGAGCGTGG